ATCACCTGATGTTTCTTTTAGGGGCACTTGCTCTTTGGGTTTGTTAAAACAAGCTTTAGGAAAACAGCAACCAAGAACACTGAACGGACTTTTCCTTGGAAAATTCTAGTTAGATCTTAATGCAAGAATTAAGACTGTTACATAAAAGCAAATCACCACAAGAAATACACACTTTATGTATAAAAATGAATTATCAAAATAATTTCCATAAAGTGTGAATAACCTTCTGTACAACAAGTAGGCTAGAATATTATGTATCGAGTGTATATCATTAGAAAATTAAACACAAAACCAGTGGCATAGCTAGGATTCCAACACCCGGGGACAACTGAAGAATTTGTGCCCCTTTCTGTGTGCCAAGAATAGAAAACATTTCATTAAAAAATTTCGTAAAATCAATTTGGCGTCGTCTAGATGCTGCGCCCGTGGGTACAGATGTTCCCCCCCTAGCTACGCCACTGCACAAAACATGTGAATAAAAAAGAATACATATTAGAAATACTAGCCACCTGCACAGCCAGCTGCCTAAAATAGTTATTACAAAAATGAAAAATAAATAATGATTTAAATATTTTCAGTATGTATTCATTATGTAATTTCATGGGTCCAACTAATTAATAAAAGATGGAAAACTGCATTCTGAATCGTTTAATTTATTAATTAATAACAGAATAAATGAATTTGAAAGAAAAATTAAATATCTTGAAATTCATGGAATGAATGACAACACACTGGTATAGTTTGGCTTGTGATGACCACGAGTGTAACATGCATGCGCCCCGACCGATTTATGGGGACACGAATCATGTCACAAGGAATTTTTCCCAGTTTATTTCCACAGCATTCAGAGACCACAGATAAATTACTTTTAAGCGAACTAAGACGATATGCTGATCATCATTTATGATTAGCTCCCTTATTACACTGCATTTTGTGCAATGTTTATTTATACCGTGTCTTAAAAGATCGTTGGCAAACTTAACATGCTAATCTGTCATACAATAACAGACAAGATTTACAAAGGAATTTGTGTCTGAAAATATGAATGGTGACCACCAGAAGACAATGTTCCCAGACGTACAGGGGGAGAAAGGAAAAATGTCAAAAGAGATGTTAATATGACTTTTATTAAAGAACATAGTTAAACACAGAAGATGTTCAAAATTCATTCCATTCCACACAATGTCGATGCATGGATTCATGGACCCGTTCAAAAATAAGCAGGTATGCCAGGGGCACGTGCTGCTGCTTTCACGATCCACATTCGATAGTCACCTCATATAGCATAATTCTTCATGTATTCCCACAGATAGAAAGAAATCCAGGGGGAATCAGCTATGTAACTTGTCTGCCTCTGCCAATTCAGCGATCAGAATATATCCTATCAAGATATTCCCGCACAGTGCTGCTAAGATGTGCAGGTGCTCCATCATGCTGAAAGATTTTTTGCATGTAGCTGCTGGAATGTCAACCACCAGATTTGGCAACACTCTTTTAAAAAAAGTTCGATAACTTTTCCCGTCAAGGCACTGAGGTAATAGGTAAGGGTCAATTATTCATGTCACTGATAATAACAGCCTAAACATTTATGGAGCAACATTTAACTTCCATGGGCAAGTGTACACTTTGGGTTTTCATGCGTCCACATGAGCATATTGTTGTAGGTTCAGGACACCATCTGATACAAAAGAGGCCTCATCGGAAATATTGACAGCTGCACACCCCATTTGAGCAAATGCAACCCATTGAGGATACTTACCACTGCACGATGCCTATACCATTTGGATGAGGTAAGGGGTGTAGTGTGCCTCTTGTGCAGTAAGCGCATAATGGTGGAACAATGTAAATGCAAAATGTGTTTGGTTGCTCAGAGACTTGTTTGCGGGTTCATCCAATTACCTTTGAACAGCTTCTACAAACAGTGTGCATGTAGCACATTCTCTACCAATGTGACTACTCACGTGGAAAGCTACTGCCTCAAGCAATCTGTGAAGCAATTGTCTGAACAAAGCATGACTTATCTGACATCCATTTGGGAAGCACTCAAGTTACATTCATACCGCAGCACTGTACACGTAATGCAAAATCTTTGCCTGAAATGATCACACTTCCCACTCTCAAATAAGCCTGTGAACATCCCCTTCTCGTGGTCACCATTCACATTTTAGACACAAGTTGCTATGTAAATCTTGTTTGTCATGATATGGCAAACAGCATGTTAAGTTTGCCAATGATCTTTGAAGATGCTCTGCATATATTAGTAAAAACAAAAGAGTTTTGCTATATATACATGATTTTATAATGAAACTTAATAAGCAAATTTTATTACATTATAATTGTAATTCTTCAATTAAAATATTTTATTGTACGATTCTCATTATTATTATAATGAATTCTAATATTTTTATGACAAAAAATAATTACATTATAATTATTTTATCATTTGTCATCTTTAAAATTTATATGTATTATTACACACTGAAAAAGAAAAGTACTTACGTACTATAACGACTACCTAGATATTTTGCCAAAACTGGTGACCATTGTATTTTATACAGGTTAGAATCAGTAAAGATAATTTCAGCCTAGCTTAACGTTTTTGCGATGGCACACCTTTGTTTAAGACGCTTGTGCAGGACGGAAGGGAATCGAAGGCAGTCACCGTACAGGACGGAGGTTTTGCATCACTAAGTATAATTTTATAAAAAAAAATCAGAAAAAATAAAGTTTCGCTTCTAGCATCGTAATTTTTTGTATCATTTTAGATTATTACTTGAGCTCTTATATATGTCAAAACTAGCACTCAATAACGTTTTTTTCTTTATTTTGCATGACGATACACTTAAAAAATTGCTTATCTTGTAAAATAATTTTCGGAAGCGCTATTCAAATTATTCCAAATTTTTAATTGATAAAATCCATCAATAAAGTTTTAAATTAATAAAACAACACAATAAAGACTATTTACAGTAAGAAGTAACAAAATTTAAAATGAAGACTGTGTGGTAAATCTCGAAGCAGAGAAGTATCACTTTCTAATTCTTTAGAAAATGAATCATCACTCTCATCTGCGTTAATAAATCGTTTATTGACCATATGAGGGTTTTCTTCCTCTGATAAATAGCGCCTTTCCGCCATAATAGACTGGAGGTGAGGCTTTCCGAAATAAAAAGAGAAGAAACGGAAATATATCTGAAGGGCAATGCAAAACATAACAGTACTCCACATACTAACCCTAAAAGACTATATATAGTAAAGGCTTATGGTATTTTGCCCCAAAATTCTGGTTGTTTAAATTTTCACGTAACAAAATTGTACATGACAGAAAATGTATAATATCAACAACAGTCAATAAAGTGTTTGTTTCAAATTAGGTTTCTTATCAACTATCAACAGCAACAGACTAAGATGAAAAGGTAAAACAACTGTTTTCAGAACTGTTTCACTGATGACAAATTTTCTTAAATGCTTTTGAAAGAATGAATTTTCATCCTTGCAAATTCTATGTTCATGTTACAACACATACACCATGAATCAATAATGGATTTATGAAATATTTTTTGGAAATAACTATGCACTGACTTTTGCAAAATATAAACCTGTGATAAAATATTGAAGTCAAATGTGTTAAAAGTTTATATTTTTATAATTATTAATGTTAAATATAGACCGGATGGGAACCAATTATGGCAAACTGTTTTAATAAAGTAGGTTTCTTTGGTTGCAATATAATTGAGAAGTATGATATTGATGAAAATGACTAGAAAACATCAAAAAATGAAAAGAATTTTTATTTAGCTTCTTTTATTGGTTTTGTAAATACAGAAAAGTATGTTAAGTTGTGATGGAATACGTAGGCAAAAAATATATTGAAAATCTGGTTGAAACTGAAGGAAAACAAAAGGAATAAAAAAACTTGTGCCACTTATTAAGATGCAGTAAATTATTTAGAAGCATTACATAGAAAGTCCAGAAAATGCTCCTGAAGAAATGTTTTAAGACTGGGCATAGTAACATGGACTTTGAGATAACCCAAAACTATCACTTGCAGTTACTAAAAAGAAAAGGAAACAGTTGGTAGATTTTTTTTTTTTTCAACAATATTAATGAAGACTTTTTAAGGAATACCTAAAATTTTTAATGGAAGATCTGGATAGGAAGCAGTGTAAAAAAATCTATAAAATATATATACATTTTTTTCAATTTTACATAATTACAAAAACTAAGAACACTTGCCAATTATCTGCACCACTGGCTTCAAAATTCAGTAACAGTTTTTGATGCATTTTCAAGCATGTAGAAAATAACAACTGACCCACATATATGCATACAACATACGGATTTGCACACTGATTCAAATATCACTTTGCTTATTAGTATCCATCAGCCATAAACATCTAAATATCAGTCATATAGACTTTTTTATTGTTACTTTCAAAAGGAAGACTTCATAAAGTTAGCAAAACAAAATTTCTTTGCCAATCTGCCAAGTCAGCAATGAGTTGCAGATTTTTCATGAGGGTATGGATAATGTTTTAAAAATGTAATATTAAGCTATTTTGTGAAAAAGTTAGTAGCTTCTTATTTGATCACTTTGGAAAATTCTTTTGCAGGTCCTATTGTGCTTCTCGAATAATGTATCTCATGATCAGATTAAAATGGTCAAGTAGCTAAATTAAAAATCAGATTTTCCTGATTTACAGTCTACTGAAATAAAAACGATACATTCGATATATAGGAAAGAAGGATTTAATTTCTTTTTTATAATACTGGAAAAACTGGACAAGAATAAATAAAACATTAAATGTGCACAGATAATAATAAACAGAAATGACAAATTCATGAATTTGCAACATGGAAGCAAAGTGACAAATGGAAATAATACTGTGGGATCGGAATGCTCTACTACGAGATAAAGTCTAGAGGAATGAATTTTTTACTTATTTACAACCTTCATATTCAAATTTACCAATATAAATTTATAAAATATGCTTACATACCTTTAAAGGATGTGTATCACTATTTTTCACACTTTTCCCTCCTCACCCTGAGATGCACTGTCCATTTCACTTTCTATGTGCTGTTCATTCGAAGACTGCTCCAGCTTTTTGTTTTCTTTCTCTGAAACACTTGCACCATCTTTAATACTAATGAAATAAATTTTAAACTTATTATACAAATAGTCTGCTTTCTGACGTACAGATTCACTTTTCATAAATTTACGGCATTTTTTCAAGGTAAAAAACACTGCTTGATTCTTTTTTAAGACTCCCATGTTAAGTGACATGTTGTCAAGCTCATTCATGGCATCCAAGCATGCATTTACATCCATATTCGAGAAATGTAAACTGTGCTTTATTTTATTGTCTATTTCTGACAACTTTATGCCAAGATCATTCTCAACTTTCAACTTTTCTAATTTTTCCTTTTTTTTCATTTCATATTTTATCCTTTTTTTTTCTTCTTTTTCCTCTAATTTCTTCTCAAGTTTCTTTTTTAATTTTTCATCATCTTCGGGTGCCTTGTTTTTCTTTTCATGATCATCACCTATTTCAGATTTTTGCTTTTTAGCTGATTTATCAACACTATTTTCCTGCGTTTTCTCCTTTATTTCTTTATCACTTGAAGATTCCTCATGCTTTGATTTTACTTTCCCGCTCCTTTCTTCTTTATGCTGAGAACTTTTATCCTTGTTATTTTTATTTTTTGTAGACTTGCTTTCTTTTTCCTCCACACTTTTACTTTTCATATCACTGTTTTTGCTTTTTGAAGCTTTTCCCTCTACCTTTGTTTTAAGTGCCTTTTCTTCTATTTTTTCTTTTGGAGGCTTTTCGTCAGAAATATCTTTCTTCTCTTTAGTCTTTTTCCCCATAGCTTCATTGCATTTTTCATTTGAGAGTTTGACTAATGATACAGAAACGTTATTACATTCTACTGTACGAGACACATCATCGTCTTCATTCTTCTTAGACTTTTTCTGTGCTTTTTTCTCTTCAATGTCTTCATCAGGTTTAGATCGTGAACTTATTTTTTTATCATTTTTAACAGCTTCCTTTGAATTTTCCTTCTTTTTCTTTTCCAATTTTTCCGTATGTTTTGACAGAGGCTCATCATCAGAGTCACTCTCTAATTCTTCTTTTTCAGATTTCTGAGCATCTTTATTTTCAGAGTCACTTTCTGGTGGTGATGCAATGGCATCCAATTTATCCTCTTTACCAGCAGATTCTTCTTTTTTCACTTCTGAACCTTCTTCTTCAGCATTTTCATCCGATCCCTCACTGTCGGAGCTAAACTTCTTTCTTTTGATCATTCGACCACTACGACTTCTTTCAGGTTCAACACTTTTGGCAGTTCGCTTACGCTTCTGGGCAGTTTTAACTTTCGGCTTCTTCTCTTCCTTTTTTTTCTGAGCATCTTTTTTCTTATCTTCCTCTTTCACTTCTTCTTGTGTTTCTTCTTCACTTTCTTCACTACCACTAGCTTCTTGCTTTTCACTTGCTGCAGTAGGACCACTGACTGTAGGATTATTCTCTATCTCCCATAAACCTTCATTAAAGAACCGTCTTTTTTGAGACTTACCGTATTTTTCTTTAAACTTTTCATATGGAAATATATCTTTTGCTTGAACAATACCTGTTTCATACGTTCCAAAAAAAAACACTGGATATTTATTAGGGGGAATTTTCTGCCCAGGCTTTGGCGATTCAATGCGAGCTGGCCAAGGCGGGTATCCACGCACTTTACCAAAAATCAAGTCACCGGGTCTATAATGAGCCATTTTAAGAAACGATTACAGTCAAACAGTACAGATAATACAAGGCAGAATGTAATCAGATGCGTAGTGGTTGCAATGTCAGTTAGAGACAGATTTCACAAATAAAATCACGCTGGAATTCAAAAACAGCGAACGACTCGATTGGTAACGGCCAGACAGACAAAGTAGACAGTAGTGTCTTGTTTTGCACCCGCTAAGTCTTTCTACCGGATGGGAGTAAACCAGGATTTTTACTGACCGTCAAAATTGCAGTTTTTTCTATTTTTGAATAACATTTTTCGTTATATTGGCAATCCTTTACTGCAGAAGGTGAATTAAGATGATTTATTGAGCATTTAATAGACATGCCTTTTCCCCCCGTGAAGACTTTTATATATTTTTTTAATTGTATGTTGTAATGGCAACAAGGTAATTTAATGAGTGAGTGGTGTTTATTATTATGCGTTAGTAAATTTAGTTCTGAATATAAACGTATTATTTACGTATTTCGCGAATTTTAGAAAACGTGTCATCAAGACATATGTTGTAATATTCAAACATAGTAATATTTTAAAGTATCCTGGAACCTCGAACGATATATTGATGAAACTTGTTGCGCCAGTGGGTGAGTAGATGATTTTAGGTAGTTCTGCCGAAGTCGAAATCCTCATAGTATGGCCACGCTGTATTATCATTCATATGGTTTTCCCAATCTATATCATGAATACAGTTTCTATGAAAGAACCATTCGTCAGTAAATCTCTTTTGCCGGCTTTAGTGTAGAATTGGGTGCCCCTTCGATTGGCGACATTTTTTTTTTTACTTTTGGCGATGAAACCTCACTTCTGGTTACCACGATAGTTTTTAACTTTGTTTAAGCTTCACGATTTTATTTAAATGAAAATAGATTGATGTGTACATGGACATATTTAAGGCAGTGCGCAATGCCTAGTTTGTGCAATTCTAGGATTTTTTTTAAGTAAAAACAGATCGATGTGTACATGGACACAGATCTTGTGCAATTCTTTGACTTCTTATTTTGATTTTGTGTAGTGGCCATCTTGAAATTGTGACTTCTTTGCGTCAAAAAAAGAATCGCCAATAAACAAGGGGCACCCAATTGTAAACTTTTACCCTCTTGCCTTTGGTAGATAGCCTTGTCGTATTTTGCTATAACGATATAAACAAATGACGCATATTGAAACCATGTGTTGATCATGTTTATTAGGATGATTGATTTATAGTAAACTTCAGTATGCAATTTTGTTACCAACTAGCCAGATAGGAATTTGATTGAAATATGAAATGCATTTCGAATTTATATTACTTTCTTGCTGATACGATTGTTTGAACTAATTTTTAACTAGTTTTAACATATTATCTAAATTTGTAAACTGTACTTGAATATATGGGGAAAGTGCAGAATCGCCCACTGCTTTGCGCGTTTTTTAGAATTGCACATACTCGGTACCCATGTACACATCGACCTATTTTCACTTTAAAAAAAAATCCCAGAATTGCACAAAAATGGCATTGTGCACTCCCTTGACTATCCATGTACACATCGACCAATTTTCACTTAAAAAGTCAAAGAAAATTGACAAAAATCCAATTCTTACTCTTTTAAAAAGTGCCAAACAAATAAGTGGGCGATTCTGAACTTTAGCTAAATATATTCTTGTATCTTTAAATTTTCATTTCTGTTTCTTATAATATCTGGGTAAAGTGTAAAATCTCTCACTTATATGGTCCATAATGATGTATACATGGACAAAGTCAATGCCAATTCTCTGATGTTTTTCAAGTGAAAATAGATCGATGTGTACATGGATACTGAGTTTGTGCAATTATTTGACTTGTTATTTTCAAGTTAGCGATTTTGAGAAGCTCATGAAGCAGTGGGTGATTCTGCATTTTCCCCGAATATCTTTGCTGGATGAAGGGTTGGCCGGAGGTATAAATCTTATTAGGGCTTCTAATGTTTATTTATATAATTTAGAGTAGCTCAGATTTGTTTTTGAGCACTTGGGTGTTAAATATTAGCAAAATGACTTTCGCATAACACTACGGATCATCTTTTGTAAAATCCGCTCTTGTTTAATCCTAGTGTACGATATAGGATTTGGTGACATTATGATAAGCACTTAATCTGGTATTTATTATGAGTAGTAAACAAGTCATTTTGATGTTGCCGACAATTTTTTAAATTGTGCCAAGACCGGATCATATACTAAGATTTTTCCCGTGCTCGTTTTGAAAACATTTTTGATAGAAAAAGTGGTTGATCTTTGGATTATGGTAACTTGGCGATTTTTTGGCAAAAATTTGGCTACTACTCTGCTACAGCAACCCCCTATTTTTTTTTCGCCGAAGTAAAGACATGTTTTTTTCTTTTTATTTACTCAACACTTTTTCCAACAATTTGCTAGCCGAATTACACTTATGCTAGAAATTTTATGGAACAAAACTGCTTAATCATGACAAATATTAACTGCAAAATTGGGAAAACGTGCAGAATCGCAAACTCCTTGCCGCGTTTTTCAAAATCGCACATACACAGTAATCATGTACACGTTGACTTATTTTTACTTAAAAAAATATCCCAGAATTGCACAAAAATGGCATTGCGCACACTCTTGACTTTATCCATCTACACTGCTATTTTCTCATAAATCACAAAAATTTGCACGAAAATGCAGGAAAATTTTGTGAATCTTTAAACTCGGTAAAAAGCACATATATGAAATCACCTGATTGCGAAAAAGTATATACCCTATCCAAGGATGAACATTTCTACACATAATATAAATAAAATATCCAAAAAGTTTTTTACCTCTAAATTATCTATTATAAACGTCACCAACGAATTCATAACAAAACATTAAAAATGGTTACAAATACTTAGTATCAAATATTTAAATTATTTCCATGCACGTTTACTTCCACTCAAACGTATATCAAATTGCTACAAACATATAATTCACAAAATAACTATCATTTAATTAAAATATAATTAAAGCATGTACACGTCGACTTATTTTTACTTAAAAAAACATCCCAGAATTTCACAAAAATGGCATTGCGCACACTCTTCACTATATCCATGTACACTGCTTTTTTCTCATAAATTAGAAAAATTTCACGAAAATGCATGAAAATTTTGTGAATCTTTATAAATTCGGTAAAAAGGACATATATGAAATTACCTGATCGCGAAAAAGTATATACCCTTTCCAAGGATGGACATTTGCACGTATAAAATAAATAAAATATCCAAAAACTTTTACCTCTAAATTATCTATTATAAACGTCACCAACGAATTTATAACAAAACATTAAAAATGATTACAAATACTTAAACTCTTTCCATACACATTTACTTCTACTCAAACGTATTTCAAAATTCTTCAAACACACATAAACGTAATAAAAATTTCGGATTTACTTTATATACGGCCATGGGATCCAAATATTAAACAACACTGTTTCACAGAACATAGAATGAAACTACTCCTATAAAGTACAGCAGATATTTTTACAATATACCCCCTTTTGCGATTAAAGAGCAGTGATTGGTCCATTAATGTCACATGACATATCTCATGATCTCTCATTTCCCTCACACAAAATAATGCGTAATCGGAACTGAAAACTTCTCACATTATTGCCAAAGTCCTAGGTAGTAACCTTTATCGCCTCCAAAATGTCGCCAAACTACCTGTTACTATATTCCAAAGATCAGCCATTTTTTCATTTTCAGTAACTTCTCTGTCACTTTCTTCACTATCGGTAGTGGTATTTTCTGGATCTAGAACCATACTAGATTTCTCCATTCATTAATTGAGTGATGATTGAGAAGCATTGTCATCACAATGAAAAACTTTTTTTATATCATCTTCATTTATTACCACTTCTTCCCATTTCTTTACTAAATCTGCTAATTGGAAAATTTCAGCTTTTGTTTTGCGGTATCCGAAATCCTTTAAAATTCATGGCTATCATCATCAAATTTAGCTATCGTTCACTATTCATATTTGGCTATGCATCATGAGCTTGGCGACTAATGACAAGTTGTTCCGTTAAATTTTATCTTGCTTCTATTGTGCACTGAGACAATTAAGCCTGAATTGTATCAGTTTAGTTATTTATTATACTTATGTCTATTTCTTGCACATACTTATCAGAGTTCTGAAGAAATAAATTCCCATACATACTTATTGAGGGGCGGTGCTAGATATCATACTGCCTGATGCTAGATATTTTACTGCCTGATGCAGTCTCTGTGGGTCTAAAATTCTTGACCGGTGCGGCCATACAAGCTCTGGCGCTGCTTCTGGGTTTATGTGAATAATAAATCAGTTTTTCTTAATTCAAATAGCATTAAATGTATTCTTTGGGTCTATGAGTATCAATCATCAACAAAATCTATTTTTAGCATATGGAAAGAAATTTTTCCAAGTCAACATTTTTACATTACTCAAGCTGTCGTGTGTTGATGAAAATGCGGTGATGAAAAGAAAGTATAATAAATAATGATTCACCAGGCTAGCGTCAGATCAACAATGTATCTATGTGGAATGTTTCAGTTTGAGATGTGTGCCAAGCAGATATGCAGCAACAGAGCAAAATTGCTGATCGTGCAAAATTATGCTGAAATAATTGTTTCTTCAGTAATAAGGTATTTTATTTAGTGTCAAAGTGAAATTAAGAATCGGGACTCTACAGATGTTTTATTATGCGCGGAAGAAGGGGGAATCAATTGTGCATGCGTAAAGCCTATGAGAAAAATGTTGGTGGTTTTGAGGTCCGGATTTTAGATCATTCCGGATATTGGACGTCCGGACTTCGGACTTTATTGTAGTTTGAAATCACTTAATGCACTGGAGTCATGGCTTTTGGACTAGAAAATATAAATAAATATCAAAAAGTAAGATGCCTTACTTTCACTTGGAAAATTAATACTAATGAAAGTGGCCAAATCTTAATGTGTGATATCTAATTCTCTGAACCAAGCACATCTCTTACCTTGAAGTTATCCTAGATCATCTTACATGGTTGCTTAACCCGTGGGGATCGATGTAGAGAACTCTGCAAAGCTACTGTCTAGGATCTGTACCTAGGAAGTCTCGGCCACAGGGGTATAAAATTTATGAAGCTAGTGGTTCTGGAGGTCCCTGAAAGGTCATTTATTGGCCTGCCCTGTAGTCTGGCGTATATCCATGTACACTGCTTTTTTTCTCATAAATTAGAAAAATTTCTCGAAAATGCATGAAAATTTTGTGAATCTTTAAATTTGGTAAAAAGGACATATATGAAATTACCTGATCGCGAAAAAGTATATACCCTTTCCAAGGATGGACATTTGCACGTATAAAATAAATAAAATATCCAAAAACTTTTACCTCTAAATTATCTATTATAAACATCACCAACGTATTTATAACAAAACATTAAAAATTATCACAAATACTTAAATTCTTTCCATGCACATTTACATCTACTGAAACGTATTCCAAAATACTACAAACATATAACTCTCAAAATCACGATCATTAAATTAAAATATTAATTAAATTAAAAATCACTACTTAAAATATAAATAAGCACATACATTAAATTAATAAA